GTTCTATGGAAGCGGGGGGACGGGGACATCCTGACATTAGCTCCCCTCTTCTTCCCTTCTCCCCCCCTCCGCCAGCACAGCAAGCAGGAGGCTCCCTGGAGCAGCTCCAAGGCAGAGGGCAGGAGCAGCATACGGCAGTGTGGGGAAGGACAGCTGAACTGCCCGGCAATTGATAGCCTGCTGGGCGGCTGCGCACAGGGAACTTAGGGGAGCTGATGCGGGGGCTACCGGTCCACCCTGGTTCCAAGCCCTCACCAGCTATCTCCAACGGGCTGCTCTTCCTGCAAGCAGTGAACAAAGCAGGCAGCTGCCAAACAAATTAGAAGGGAGCATTGCACAACTTTAAACGAGCATGTTCTCTAATTGATCAGCAACAAAACAACGTTAACCAGGACGAGGACGTTAAGTGAGGAGTTACTGTACTATGTAGTAATACTCTTTTGTAAACAGGGAAGAACCCTTTAAATGCCAATTCAATTTAAATCTAAACCTTTTCTCTTCTCAGGAAGCAAAGTGTGGTGACTATAACGCTGTTGTAGTAGAAGTCTCAGGAGAAGCCTTTTACACTGGAACAGCAACCTTTGTTGTTGAAGAGGAGGACCCACTGAAATATGGATTTTCTCTAAAGTGACCTTTGCCATCATTCAATTGCCAGCTTTTAAATAGGAACCAATATCAAAAAGATGATCTTTGTAAGCTGTAGGGGGGAAATATAAATACATCATATTTACTTAACTCGTAGTTTCCTAATAGACTGCTGCATCTATGGATGGTTAAAGACAAAGTCATTTAAATATCCTAGAGCAGAGCTGAAAAAACCTTTCCTGATATGATTACTTGTATTACAAATAAAGATCACAGGCCACATTATTCTGTAGTGATTAGCATGTATTATACAAGTCCGCATCTGTTTGAAACTGCATTTACAATTCTATTTCAAATGCTAGATAGTAAACAAAGCTAAGCTTGAAGGGGCAATTTCAAATGTAAGTGCCTCTTGTAAAGACATTATGTACTTTAAACTCTGCGTCAGTGCAAGAATTCTATTAAAATGCAGTATTCTGACCTCACATTTTTCTTGTTTTAATTCTTGTAACTTGGCCTCAGTCACTGATCTTAAGTGTTTCGCGGTCATTGTTTTGGTTCATCTGCCCTGACTTGGTCATCTCACTTTAACTACCATAACCTGTCTGGCCACCCTGCTTCCTGGTTCAGATCTCTTAAAAAATACTAGAGCTGAAGTTATCTTTCCTGCTCTACAAACATTACCTGTCAGTGGGTACTTCCACTGACATCCTGTCTCAGGTCACTTCGTATTCAGGCTCCTTGTCATAACCAACAAGGGACTACCATGTCTCTGCCTGCTATTCATCTGTCTCCTTTCCGCATTCTTGACATTGTGCCTTTTGATATGCTGCTCTCTGCACCTGGAGTAGGCAGGGTCATACTTAGCAAATACTTTTGTCCTTCCAATCCTTTAGCCTCCATTTCTTCAAATATAATCCCTCCTTACTTCTCAATAATCCCCACACTATCTCCAGATAGGTAGTCCAGTGCCCTCTTTGTTTCAGATCACAAATTAGTCGGGGCAAGGAATGTGTCTATATGGGCTAAAATCCTAATCCCAAAGAAGTCAACAGTAAAAATCTGACTTTAGTAGCACCAAGATTGGGCCCTGTGTTTGTAAAGTGCTGTGTGTGTTTGTAGCACTACATAAATCAATATGCAATCCACTGTTGTGGTTGGTTGTGATGTACTAAATAAATAATTCCTTTCACTTGTATAGCTAGACAGTTCATAGTCTACTGCAAGCTAAATCTAAATTGTGAGCCTGGATTCTGCAGACTGGAAAAATTTTTGGCAGCTTGACTTAAAAATGCTAGTAAATATGATGAGTTGGTACAATCAGTATCCTAGTGCCTGATGAACTCATTTTATACGGTCCCATAAATTCAGATTTTTATATTGACAATGCATATCTGCACTGTAGAAGTTGGCTGGGGAAGCTGGTGGCTTTTGCAGATAGTTGAGACACAAAACAGTTTGGCGCCTAGGAAAGTAGTTTGGAGTCCTGGAATAAGTACTTTAACTAGAAGTTTCTGTTGAAACTGTTACCTATAGATTTCAGCATCAGTTAAACTGTTTCATAAGTGATTATAAGAGGTGTAACACCCACTGAGATAACTGAAGTAGTTCACCCTCCGAGTTTTTCTTTCAGGATGCCTGCAGATTCAGAAAAGCAACACTACATCATTTGGCTTTCACATGTTTTCAATGTTGTCTTCAAAACTGCAAGGACTGGATATGCTTCACATCCATTTCATCTTGCCTTTTAAAACCACAAAAGTGTTATGAACCTCAGTTTTCATAACACCTCTTTAAGGTCTGCTAAGTCATTCAATGCATGCAGGATTGTTTAAATTAGCATCTTTGGGGGGATTATATATTTTAATTGCTGCTATGTGATATATGTAGTGGGTATATATACATACAATGAAAAAATACTAAGAGCTTGAGGCTTTGTCTATGTGGGAAATTATTTCAGTATAACATAAGGTGTGAATTTAAACTGCTACAGTTATACAAGTATCGCCCCCATGTGGATGCTCTTATTCTGGTTTAAGAGGGACCTTTTTTGTGGTTTAGCTTATCGCTTAGGAAGGAGTTTAAGCTATACTGAAAAAAGGCACTCTACACAACAGTCAGCATCCACCTAAATTATACTGGTGTAACATAAAATTTCCCCATGTCGACAAGCCCTTGGTAACAAATGAGATTACCCCAGAGTTGAGGGAACTAAAATCATCAGCATGTCGGCAAATTCAGGGAATGAGGATATGCGATGGTCTCCATTGTGCCCAGCTGGTTTCCGTTATGCATTTACTAACAAAGTAAGATCTTAGGGCCTAGAATTAGCCCAAGAGGCAGCGTATGCAGCAAAACATTTGCTTCTAACCCTCTGCTGTGGTCTCAGGTTCTCAGATTCTAAGGGTCCTGAAACGGCTTTAGTTCATGCTACTTAATATGTCTGAAATGTACATTGATTTTTAGAGGTGCAGGGCAAGGATGCATGTTCAGTTAAGTACATTGACACCTATATGAAATTTACCAGTTAATAATGGCTTGGTATGGGACTGTCAAGGCTCATTTCCCCACTATGGCACTTTTAGTGCAGAAGGTGGGGCCCACAAGGATTCTAAAAATTAATACTGGCCACTCCAGACTGATATTAAACTTCCAAGATTACAGCTTTTCTCTGACCTTGGATGGGTAGATGCTGCCACCACCCAAGTACAACCCCCACCCCCTTTGAGATCCCTGGAAGGCAGGGGTACCCTCAAGCCCTTTAACACACACACACCCTCTGGGGAAAAGCTCAGAAAGAAAACAAAGGAAATCAGGTGTTGCCACCAGCTAATTGAACAACATATGCACAAACCTCTTAGGACACACAAAACCCAATCCTGTTCTTAAGGTAAATTTTATTAAAAACAAAAGGAAAGAAAATACATCTGGAACCTAGGCTTTTTGCTAGGTCTTAAAAGAAACAATTACAAAAATTAAGCATCAAGCTAGCTCTCTTGAGGTTCAGCTTAAAGGTTACATGCAAAACAAAAGCATTTGGGGTTAGCATAGAGTAGTCCACAAGCCTATAAGCAATAAAAGGAATAACCCTAATCGCATCTTCCTAGACATTCCTGATCTACTTACATATCTGGGGTTCACAAGTAGTTCTAGGTCTGATTTGATGATTTTTTCATACCAGGTTTAAAGCTTTTACAGAATAGTTTCAGCCCTGTCCCTGCTTTGTCCCCTCTCTCCAGAGAACAGCAACAGACAGACAAAGGGAAGTTTTTTCCCAATTTTAAAAAGTTCTAGCCCTCCCATTGGCTCTTTTGGTCAGCTGCCTATTCCCTTCTTTTTAACTATGGGCTTTTATTAACCATTTACAGGTAAAGCAAGTAGCGAGCAGCTACTAACAGGCTAACAGGGATTTTATAGCTAGCTGGGTGTCCACAAAAGGGAGCTCCCCCCCCCCCCAATTTTTCACAGGGACCAACTAGGGATAGCTGATAGTTACTTCTAAAATAAATGTTTTATTTACCTCTCCTTTTTGTCCCGTTTTCTCAAATTATGAAATTTGTGAGGCAGGAACTGTCTCAATACGGACTTGCTCAAATGCCCATTGAAGTCAATGGGAGTTTTTTCCCCATTAACTTCAAAGGTCATTGGACAAAGCCCTATGTGTTTGGACCATGTTTAGCAACTGCAATGCATGATCATATTGTATATAGTAAGAATCCATCCCTCTTCCCCAGGTTTTCACCTGTTGCTTGTCTTAGGCCCTCATCTGCAAACATGCACACACTTTAAGTATGAGTAGTTGGGACAAAAGTGTTTTGCAGGATTGGAGTCTTGGATTGTAAACTTGTCAAGTCAGGGTCTGTCTATGTGTGAGACAGTATCTGGCACACTGGGTGGATACTACCACCCTACAAATACATGCCCAATTGGTAAAAATAGATTAAGATCTACCAAGTAAACCATTAAGATTTCCCTGAATTGTAGTAGGGCTTTTTTCAATATAATACGCAGTACTTTATAATTTGATATAACAGGACCATTTTGGTGTAATTAATACTTGTTGCCTGGTGGTGTTATATCATTACAGACCAAAAAAAATCCTGAAAAATTCCCTTATTAAAAATTTCTAAAGGCCAGGACAATGCTCTCTCCAAATCTCTAATGCACCAGTTGGCAGCTAATGGTACTGGAGAGCTTCAAAAAGAAAAGGTAAAATTAGAGTAATGATGGGACAAAAAAGCACAGATCTAATCTGCCAATGCCATAATACATTTTAAAACCATAATTCTCATAATGAAAGAACAAAAATGGTCAATAGGTTGACAGTCTGTGTTCTTTGAACTTATTTTGCTAAGGCCGGATGCCTGGCTTCTTGTGTTCCTACCTTTGCTACTAATTTTCTGTATGACTTTTGGGAAAATCACGTATGGCCTTGTTCAGATGCGCTGAGCAGCCCTAGCTCCTGTTAACGCCAAGTGGAGCTGCAGGTGTTCAGCACCTTTGAAAGAGAGGTAGTTTGTTCCTCAGTTTCCCCACCTGTAAAAATGAGTGCAAAAGGAGGGGAACCCCTGAAGGGACTTAGGCATTGCAATGCTGAGCATCACAGTGTCTGATTTAGCTGTGTAGAAAATTAGGAACAACACTGTGATCCTCAAAGTCGAGTTAGGCAACTAGGCTCTCTGGACAGTGGATGGGGAGAGAGAGCGGAGCTTTTGAATGTGATCCACAAAAGCCATCATGCTAGGCAGGGAGCGGCCTAATCTAGCCAACCGGAGATGCTGATCATTGCGGGGATTGTGCTAAACCCCGCCACTCTCTATCAGTGTCTATGTCTGGGCTGCATTGAGGTGTCTAGCTCTGCTTAGCGATCCACGAATGGGCACCTGCAATCAGGCAGCTTAAATGCCTAATACTCATTGGGCCAGGGAGCGAGAATGGGAATGACTCTATAGTCTAGTGGTTAGGGTGGGAGATCCTGAGTCCAGTCCCTGTTACAACCACTCTTTTGTTATTTAATC